TATCAGTCCACTGCGGGAGCTTCAGGTGAGAACGAGTCTGAGCGGAGGAAGAGGGAGAAGGTACGGAGAGAGAACAAAATGCCATGGATGGATGAGTACTGGGGAGTCCTTCAGCCAGAACCAATATACTCGAGGACTCAAAGGTGGTACGTCATTGATGACTTCAAGGAGGGTGAGGAGATTTGCTGCGATTACTGTTTGGTCTGCAATCCCATATACTCCGATTTGAAAGACGATTGCTATGCAGAATGCATCAACGGAGCAGCAAATAGATGCCGTGGGATGTCCGCAGAAGACTACGTCCAGAAGCGATTTCATGCATGTGCTCGATTGCTTCACAACTTCGGCGTGGGGCAAACGGTATCTTCTCCCACCGTCATGATCTCCGAGATGAACCCGCACGTAGACTTGATGAAGTTCTTACACGAAGCGATGATCATCTTTAACGGGAACCCAGGTTTCCAGAAGGAGATCTCGTTCTTCGGGGGGATCAGGTTGTCATCAACTATGACGGAGAACTTCTTCAAAACGAGGAGAGGGCCCAGCATCCATGTGGAAAAGCAGATAGTTGGCAGCGCCAAGTACTACCAGGGATCCTATGACCTTGGCAACGTGTGCTACACCAAATACCTCAAGACCATACTGGAGCCCGAGGTATTCCGCAATATGTTCGGAGATGATCCCTCGGAGGAACGGGTAGGTGATATGGTGGAAGCGCTGCTGGGCATGTTAGAAATTGCTCAACTCTTCAAACACCTGTTCTTGGGATGGGGTGACATTGAGGCTTTGAGGACGGGATTAGAAGAATCCATCAAGCGTGTCACTGCATCGCTGTACGACAGGACAACGTATGAGAACCGAAAGCGATCGATGATCAGAACATTGGACCCGCACTCTGATGAGGCGGCAAACGTGGCACTGATTCTCGTTCGCATGAGGACCATGCCGCCTCCTGAATTCGATATCGACCACTTCTTCGAAATTGGGAAAGAACCAGAACAGGGAGCAGAAGCTACTGACCAGCCCGAGGCCGAAGGTGTCGATATGGAAACTGAATGTGAACAGGAGAAGGAGGAGCAAGACGTTGACATGTCCGATCCGAAGACATCAATACTGCAAGCCATCGACGAATTCGAGAAGAAGATCGGGCAAGCAGAATTCTGCATCCACTGCATGAAGTCGGGACACACAACTCTCAATTGCGAGAAGATCCCTTCATCTTCACCCACAGTCACCTCAGTGTTGAGTGATTGGAAAAAGAGAGTGAAGGGAGAGGTTGCACCCGACGATGTACCATCCGGACATCCAGCCGAGGAGCCTAAGAAGAAGAAGCAGAGAGCATCGCCTACTCCAGATAGGAAGGTCGACAGCGAGTTCAGGCGAAAAGAAATGTTGAAAGCAAGAGTCGTGACAATGTTTGACCATGACGGGTTCACCTTGATTGAAAGTGCCGATGGAGTCGAAGGAGGGACACATTCCTACAATGGGCGGAAGCTGGCGGAAGTAGGCCCTAGGGATATGAGGGTGGTGTACGAATTTGTAGAGAAGGCATTTGTGCACTCCAGTTCCCTCAAACCAAAGGCCTGTCATCAATTCTATCCCCTACCGACACGGAGGGAGAAGGGATACAAGCCGATCGACCCCATGACAATGGTCGGGAAAGTTGAGCTAGTACCGATCAACGGAGTCACTTTCGCTGCACAGAACTCCGACTACGGCAACCACAAGTATCCGACTCCAGACTGTCGAGTACCAGAATACAGCCAAGCGAGCCAGGCCCTGAGTCGTCGATTGGGAGCGAAGTTGAGGCATCGAATTGGACGCCAGTTCAGGACAGGAGGAAGACTCACACCAATCAAATGCGACGAAGGCGCATGGGTGTCATGGGAAGACCTGTTAGGTGATAACGCAGTTTGGGAAGACGGTTATCACTATGGCAATATAGACATCGTGACCAAGAAGGCGCGTTTGGAAAAGTACCTCGACCAGAACTATGAGTGTTTCCGCATAACCAAGAGGATCAGATTCCAAATGTTGGCGGTCCGCGTTCACCCTGATGAACTCAATGATCCTGATGACCCGATGGAGAAGGAATGGATTGACGAACTCAAGGGCATGGGAATCTCCAAAGGAAGACTCCACTATAGCGATGGACGGTGCTTTCCCGTGGCCGTAAGAGCAACCTCAGCACACTCATCGGACGGTGGAGGTTATGACGTTACCATCAACATCGACCACATTGGATCGAGAATGACCAACGACATGGCCCTATCCATGGTGACTGCATTTCACGCTACCAATCTTGGAGCGCTGACTTCAATCATGCGACGGGGGCTAGTGCCAGGAGGTCTCGGTTCATCGGGAAGGGATTCTATCCACTTCACATGTTTTCCGCCATGGGCCTGGGAGCAGGGCTACAAGGGAAAACCTTGGCTGGGTCGTAAGGTCGCATTGAGTGATCGCCCAGTGGTTCTCTACATTCCGGTGTGGAAGCTGCAGGAGTACGGGCTTCTCATCTCAGCGACTGGATCTCTATTGGTTGAGGACGTCGTCCCCTTCGATGAGGTTAAAGGGGCATGGTTGCAATGCGACAATGCAGAACCCGGACAGCCTGAGGAGATTGAATGGATCAGGTTACTCAATAGAGAACCCGACCCTGGAAGCTACCTTGTTCTGGAGTCCAAATACGGAAACCCGATCATGACTCCACGCTATCAAAAGCTTGAGAGTTTAGCGGTTGAGGTCCAGGACGATACCTACTCCGAGGACGACGCCAAAATCTCAAAGCTGTTGGGCATGATCGAGGAGAGTGGTATCTACCCAGAATATGATAGCACTGAGTGGCAGGAAATCTTTGAGGAGATCGTATACCGCCGAGCAATGAAAGACTACGACTCAAGACCGTGCCCTAACTGTCTTGGCGAAGTCGATGTGCGATTGACGATATGTCCGCACTGCGTAGCGGTTTTGATCGCGAATGGGAAGCTCACGCATGTGGTGCCCAAGGAGACAAGGGACCGCAATCAACGATCACCTCCGAGAGATGTACCAGCCAGTTCTTCCGGTGAAGCAACTTCTGCTGCAGGTGCAAACATCGATGAAGTCATCAAGAATGCACGCAAGACAGCCGAAGAAGTCATTGACGTCGAGGAATCCGAAGGAGAGGAAGACGAGGAAGTTCCTATCATTTTGAAGGAACGACCGGACGAAGCTGAAGGCGAACCCGAATATCGGGAGGTCCCTCAAGATGGATACGGGAATGAACTTCCACAGCCTTTCCCCTTCGCAATTGACGAATTGCCGCAAGAAGCTGCGATCCCCATCGACCACAACTTTGCAGTCACACAGCAATTTGATCTGAGGTTGATGAAGTTGATCAAGAGCTTGGCCAACGCAACGTTCGACATCAATTGCTTTGAGAGTCGTGAAGACGTACTGCGAAAGTTCGACGATGGACAGCGGCATGACACTCCATACAATAGATGGCCATTAGTACCGAATGATCCGGATACTGGGTTTCCAAGACGCCTTCAGAGAGCCGAGGTCGTAGGCATGAGCAAATGGACCAACGACACGTATGCAACAGAAGCGTGGCAGATCTATGAATTCCACGCCCACGTTATTCACCCGATGATGATCACTGCAATCCGCTGCGGGCTTAGCCACAAGTACCTCAAAGAGGTCGGCAGCACTCGGCGTAACATGAGTGATCCAAAGGCTCGAAGATCTGAGACCCAGGAAGAGATCATCGAGAAACTGGCATTCATCTCAAATTTCATCAGACGCTTGATCAGGAAGACCTTCGGAGCGAGCCGATATAGCTACTACCAGAAACCAGATGACGAAGGTGCCGCTCCATACAAATTCATCGACATTAGCCCCGCCATCAAATCGGAGCGGAAGAATGTCACAAAGGAGATCCTCGTTGCATGCCGCTACTATGGCATAGAGGTATCCGATATCCAAGCACAGAAATTGAAGCTCTTTGAGGAGCAGATCCGAAGGGGAAACCCAAGGAACGTTGAGCTCATCAAGGACTACATTGGCTTTGTCGGCGCTGACTACATGCGACAACTCACGAATGGTTGAGCATTGGGGTCGTACCGACACGCCACTTCCGGTACTTCAAGTACTGAGGGATCTTGGGTAATTCATGATGACCGTTTTGGCATCATGGGAGTGAGACAGGATTGTGTTTCACACCGTTGGTAATCGCATGATACCATAGGTAGGCGCACATTTTCCGTTTGTAGCTCCATTACCTGTTTGATCCAACTTTCAAGCGAATGCAAGATCGTTTGCTAATTCAGTTTTATAGGACATACTGGTTGACCTCCAAAGCACTTTTGAGAACATGATTCGTTCTCCGGTTTTTACATCCACTCATCTCCCTTCCCCGTCGAAGCACGGATGTGGGGGGTGTCAATAGGGATGAGGTCCCAGTATAGTTGCTATACAGGTACATGCCATATACTTTTGGCTCAAGTGCCCAACCAGGTAAAAAGGAGCTTTAGCGCGCGAGCTTCATGTTGAACTAAGGGCTAGAACGGGGCCAGGGCACACCTTTCCATCCGTTCGCATTCAAGCTCTTCCTCCATCAGTTTCACGGCTAGCTGTTCGTCCTCCAGCTTTTTGATAGCATCAATGGTGTCAGGGTGAGCACTTGCTGCACTGGGGGGGGTGACGGCTGTGTTCGTGTTCCCTAGTGGCTCCTCTGGTGGCTCCTCAGCAACCTCGACATCCATGTAGTTGGTGGTGCAGGTCACTGCACGGAGGTCTTGGATGTCACCCAAGATCTGGCACTTGAGGCACCTAAAGCCATAGGTCCTATCCTTGACAATGTGATGTTCATGGATGCTCACCGGCAAATCATCGATTTCTTCGCGTGTCAATGGGGCATCGGGAGGCTTTGAACCTCGGCAAACATGGGTTGGCTTGGAATTGTTAGTCGGGTCGAAGCTAGATCGAAACTTATAATTGATCCATGCAGCCCGGCGGAGGCAGCTTCATCATCCACTCACAGCCAGGATGCGGAGCACTTGGTCGGGATCCTGGTGAGCAGAAGTTTGGGAATAGGGTGGGATGAGTGATCCGGCTCAAGTTGCGAAACTAGTGGGCGGGCACACCAAGCTCTCTCCTTCCAGACCACTTGCTTGGTGTTCTTCAGAAGCGGTTGGCGGTTCCTACAAAGTTGTAAGAAAACATCGATTGGTTCCGAAGAAAAATGCGTATAGAAGAAGGCCTCGTCAGGCTCACAAACGACCATGGGCTCAGGCTCGGTCTTGACAATGGGGTCGCCTACCTTATTGACAGCAATCAAAGGGTCCACCACAGGGTCATGGGCCAAGCTTTCGCATTCACTTTCTCCACCTTCCCCCTCCTCCTGATCATCATCATCAGGAACACCAAGGGAAAGCGAGCTGCCTGGGAAGACATGCATGATCATGCATGCATTTAAACAAATCATGTATGCATACACACTAGCTACTTGACAAACCTCTCATATCAAAGTGCCTTGTGTACCACGAGGTGAGGGTTCAGGTACAGGGATCTCTGCAAGTTCCATTAGCTCCCTAATTTCCACTTCCTTGGGACGATGCCCTCTCTTGATTGCACGGCTGGCGCAGTACACCAGCGACCGTAGAATCCAACCCTCGGTTTGCAGAGCCCCACCTTGGCAATGAAGACCCATGTAGGCGCACAAAACACATGCATGTATGACTATCTAGGTTCAAGGGCATTCAGTAGCAAGGCCCCGACGATCTGGCAAACTCTTTCCACGAGGTCTCATATGACATAGGAAAAGGTTGGCTGCTTCAACCAAAGTAGACAGTGAAGGGCGCAGTCCTGGGAACCAAAAAATAACACCTACCCAGGCAGAAAGTAACGGTTGTGAGATTGACCACATGATCTTAATGCTGGCTATGGTCCCACATACTTTACGATCGGCTTGATGATCGCAATGTTCTGGCATACCTCCTTACGTGTGATGGCCTTGTGCTCATCAACCCTTGCCAAGATCCCCTTGACAGCTAGGTTGCAAACCTGTTCACTGCCCTGCCATGCTGCCACAATTTGCTGCACTTGCTGCTGCGACATTGCGATCTCACAAGCCCACTAGCTACAGAAAGCAAAATGCTGAGGAAGGGTGACAGTGGTGACAACACACTCTCCACCAATCACAGCCCTTGCATGCCAAAAACTCACGATACATAAGGACCAAAGACTGATGGCCTTCACAGCTCAGGCCCTATCATCACGTGGAGTACCTCGAGCGCGCACTCGACAGCACCTGTCAGTAGAGTGCCTGTTCACATTGGGGGCACGTGCCGTGCACCGGAGGCACAAGGTCGTTGGAACCCAGGCAGCCAAAATGGCTGATGAGGATCCACAAAGCGTTTTTGTTCAAGCGTTTGTTCATCGATCGAATTCACGGATCCGAGCATAGCGTCCAAAGAATGCCTCTTTTACATAAAGCGCTCGTTTTGCTATGAAGTGCCTCGTTTGACACTTTGCGCTCGTTTTGGGCTAGAGGCAAATATATGCGCTCGTTTGAAGATCTAGGTAACTTATTTTGTGTTATATATTGCACTATAAGTTACACGTAGTTAATTACAATATATTACAATATATGTTATTCATTAAGTTAATTTATGTTAGATCTATATAGATATACACCTTGATCCTTATGCCCCGTTCCTGCTGAACCAGCCATTCTGCTCAGGTCAAGGCACCGGGCTCGCGACGGATCTCATCGTCACCGGGCGCGTTTCAGCGGGGGACCGGGCTGGAGCGGGGCTGGACCGGGCTGGTGACCCGTTTGGCCGCTTTTGTGTGAGTTCTGACGGTTTTTGTTGGTCGATTGCGTGGCTGACGCGACAAGGTCATTTCTTTTGTTCGAAAGGGTTGATGAGCTGCGATTGGTGAATTGGGATGGAGAGGAATGAGAGAGCATTTGTTCTTGGACCAGTTCCACTTGTGTGATTGTGACATACACTTTCACCCAGCTGCTGCGTGACAAATCCTACTGGACAATAGCTCCTTGGAAGAACGCAAAGTCTTTTGCAAAGTCTTGGACTTCCATGATCTTCCCGTAGTGTTTCTTTGATGCGTTTGATGATTGATGCTTGTTGTGCTTCTTTCCCCCAGGAGTGAAGCATCTCCTCAGGACCACCCTTAGACCACAAACACCCACCCTAACCACGTCTCAGGAGGTAGGGATATAGAATGTGTGATGTTCATTTGAGTCCCAAGGCATTTGACAGTCACAGTCTCACATCACAAGACCCAATTGAAAAAACCAGCCGGGTCTTGTACCATTTCCTGTCCGCATTACCTTTTTCATTCACCGTTCTGATATTTTTTTGGGGTGGTGATGATGATGGATGACTGATGACTGATGACTGATTATGACTGATGAAGGACGCACAAGACACCCTCAAGCACTCTATTGCCCGTCCTCTCTCCCATACGGGTGGCCGGTCGAGCCTTCGGTATTGGCGAAAAAGACCCTCACCTGCTTTTTTTCGTCGTACGACTCCTGTACGACTCACGAGAAATAACAAAGTATATCATGTGCGATCTTGAAATACTAAGCAACCATCCCATGTGATAATTTCAATAATATCTATATTATTACAGTAATAAATCCCATCCCATGTGATCAATTAAGGATTCGACATCACGTGACTGCGACTCCGGCAGGCGTCGACCGACACGGAGTCCTTGGACGGCTCTCCTTTTTGTTACACTCGCACACTCGACATCACATGGGTACGTGGAGTGGAAAGAAAACTCCCATACGCTTGGTATTCGGAACATGGTCATCCAAACTGTCCCATCCACTTCCACCATTGTGCGACTTCGAGTGTGATTCAGGTGGGCGGCTGCTCTGCCGGTGGGCTCACAGTCTGGCTGCACTTGGACTATATTCGTCGGCTCATGCCCAGCTCGGTCCGTGTGGTCGGCTTGCCCCAGTGTGGGCTCTTCATGGACCAGCCGGACTACCAGGTGCTTCTTGAAATGCTGTCATTTATTGTTTTCCCTTTTTAAGAGTGTTGTATTTCTGTACTGTGTTCTCCACTCCACTGCCACTGCTGCCGTTTTCCTCTTAGTTTGGATGAAAAGCCGCTGAGGAAGCAAGTGTGGTATCTCTCCACTTTGGCTATTTGTTTCCTGATATGGTTGGTCCAGGTTGCTATTTCGAAACCAAGTTGCAGTTTGTGTTGCACCTTTAAAAGCTTTGTCGCCGTCGTGAGTGAGGGCCTTGAGTATTTCACCCCGCTCTATGCGCACATCTTTGACATGATGCCAAGATGCATTTGGCAAAGTTGATTGTTCCCTGTGCTTGCTTGTGTGTGTGGTGTTGATCTAGTTTTTCTATGTTTTTTCTTCAGTGTTTTCCACCAAGGGGATCGAGACATTCTTTGGGTCCAGAAGGGATCCAAGTGAAAGTTAGGCACCCACAAAGTGGATTTACTTCGAAAGCATCCCAACATGTTAGCATGAGGATGAGGGCTAAAAGCGCTCATGGACCCCACACATGGGGCAAGCAATGCGGAAGCTGCTTCCGACAATGTTTGCGTGTCATTGGGTGGGTTTCCAGATCCTAATCAACATAAACCAGCCAACCCAAGACCCACGCCCAAAAACTAACATGGACCCGGGTCGAATGGCACTTTGAAAGATGGTTTTCCATGATTTTCCTTCTAGTTACACACCAGTGGTCCTCAGGGTCCATGTTCGTCTTCAGCGGGGTAGAGAAACATGCCCCCCTTACATCACCGGACCGATGTCCTCAGCCCGGTTGCCATGCCTTGCCTTGCCCGCTGCGAGGATGGGAATGATTCGTTCGCCTTCCCTGGATCCGGGTTGCTTAGCTACTTGGAGTTTGACAAACATGTCGAGGTTGTGTTTTTCCACAGTAAGCATGAGGATTTCATGAGGTGCAAGCTGGTTTGACCACCAGTTCACATGCCCAGAGATTTGTTTGCCAGCTTGGAACGTCCTGCTTGACATGCACCAACAAGCTAGCCGCGCTAGATATCATTTCAAGTGGACACGGACTCACCGGGAACAAATAGCAAGCCACAGGCACGGAGGCGTGAAAGGATGAAACAAGAATAATCTCACCTCACTTCCAACAGGTTGGCCAAAAAACTCCTGACACCTTTGCGTTGTGCAGAAAAGAACACCAAAAAGACGGGTCATTGCAAGATTGTTGGGAACTTTGGTAACTTATCAACCTTTAGGCAAAGGTGTTGCATAATTGTCCTACCTAGGTTGGTCAACCTAGTCATAGTTATCAGGGATTTGCGTTGGATCCGTTCAGTTGAAATATCAACCAATCTGAGAGTATGCTTCCGTGGGGTTGCTGGTAGATCTGGTAGAAAAAATGAACAATACCAGGCCCCAACCAGCCTTTGGCCGCTTGGAAAAGACCACCTGGCCGCGGCTCAGGACAAGTATTCCGAGGAGCCCTGGCACTGCTTCATGGCTCAGTATGTGCCCTGGCACTCCAACCGAACCCGAGGTGATCATGATTGATCAACCTCAGATGTCAAAGCTGGGCCCTGGCACCCACTTTTCGAGAGTGGTTTGTAATGGAGGTGACGACACGTTTGCTCAGACCGCTCACTAGGAACGGTCATGTTGTCTCCCAGGCCATGGATCTTGCAATCACATTCGCAATTCACCATGCACTGTTTATATAAGATTGCTATCAAGTATGCTTATGTCACGGCAAACAAACTTGAGTGCCTTGGAAACCCGAAATCTGGGTGTTTTCCAGCCGTTGTTTCTTTTCTCCACCCTAAGAGGCACCGAACCCCCCCGATGGTTTTTGGTGTGTTTGTCCCGTTTCTGAGGTGATGCCCTTCGTCCAAACGCCCTACTTCGCTGTGAACTCCTTCTATGACTCCTGGCAGTTCAAGGTGCCAAAAACGCGAATCCGATGAAGCTGGCAGAATCCGATGAAGCCAAACCCAGAGAGAGAGAGAGAGAGAGGTCTGGGACCGAGCGAGTGAGTGACCGATGGCTGTGATTCACGGGAAACAGCAATGGTTTTTCTTTGGGAGGTTTGACTCAAATCCTTGTTTTATCCTGCATTTTGTGTAGTCTACATGATACCTGGAACCCAGGAACATTGTCAATTGATGTAATCGTGGTCCACCTTGAACACTACTCTTATCACATCAGGGCCAGGCATTCTTTAACTTTTCATTTTTCATCATGCAGGCGATGTTGCGGCTGCCCGACTCCTGCATTTGGTCACAGGATTGCACAATGAAGCAGGTCGACACTGGCCTGAAGCATAGTGCTGCGTGATCGTCAACCCAGAACATGTTCATTTGAAGGAACGCATTTTCTTTGCACAACATGTCCCTGACATGTCTTACAGAACCATTGTGAGCGGACTGGACTCGGACTCCACCGGCGGAACTGTGAGCATTCTCATGGTTTCTCCTTTGTGCGCGGCGTACTCATGGAGAACCCGAAGCGCGTGGGTCAACTCTTGAGCCCAGCCATGCCTGCCTGTTTTTGGTGTTTGTCATGTGGTTTTTTACTCTGCCCGCACAGTTGCCAGATCTCAAGGAGAGCTTCTTGTCACTGGGGAGGTCCAACAAGAAACACCCAACAACCGCGCGGTCCGCACGGCCCTTGGAGGTTGCCTGATGACGGTGCAGTCAGACTGGTCATGGTGAGGTCACTGATCCAATCGTTGAGTCAAGAGAGCCTTCATTCGACATGTGTCAGTTCTTCCAGAAATTTCAAAAGGGTTCAAATGACAAAAGGAGTGGACACTCAGGATAGCGAGCGGAACTTGAAAGACATCATGGTGAAGAATGTGAGCCTTGGGATTGCTTATATAGATCTGTTTGCTGGTGTTGTTTGTCCCCAACGACGAATCCTATAGAGTCACTCTGAATGAATCAATTCGGCAGTTTGGTGATGTTCTGCACAAGGCATGGAGGCAAGAACAATGTTTGACCTGTTTGCTTGCGAAGGTCGTTTGGTTTGTGCTCATGCTTGAATTGAGATGTTATCTCTAAAGATGTAGAATGCTGATCTTTGCTTACAACCAGGTTTTGTTTCTTCTTCTATTGTTTCTTTCCAGATACGGATGTTTGCCATCGTTTGCCCATGCATATGTTCAATTCTCAGGAGCCAATCTGCGGGGTCTCACTCTTACTTCCTTTACAGCTGTGTCTCTCACTGCGGCTACCTCAACCACGATGATGCTCGGAGCTTCTGGGGGGGATGTACTCGGGCCCTCGAGTCATCGATGGTCGTCATCACTCCACAGCGGGTTCGAGGCGGAACGTGTGGGGAAAAGGGGACAGAACTCGCACAGGCTAGAATCAATTGGCCCAAGATACCTAATTAGTGGACCTAGTTTGCAGTTGGGCCAAGTCTGCAGTTCATGCTGACATTTGGATAACACCCCTCAAATTGGAGGGGAATAACCTGTGCTTGTGGGGGGCTGAAATGTTACCTTTTTCGGTGTGCTTTCGAATTCCTTAGCAGTTCTGACTCATGACATTGGTGGGGTGCTAGGAGGTACACACCTTCATCCTGCCTGCTGATGCAGGAATTGCAACTCCGGTAGTAACTCCGGCTTGTCATTCACACAGGACATGCGATAGATATCACTGTACATGATATCAATATGTTTTCTGCTCAGCCTGGAGCCTTACCTCTGACTGATTCGCCCATCCAGCATCCAGCCCGAAGGGGGGGGCATGCAGTGACATTTGACTGCAAGAGATGCTAAGATACAAGTGCATTGAGCTCACAGGAGGTGCGCATTTTGATTTTCCATTTTGCAGCCACTTGCAAGTGGCTGCCAAGTGGCTGCAAGTGACTGCTACTTCTGTCCGGAGAAAATCATGATTTCTCAGCACGCAGTTCTGAAGAAAACCAAGATTTTTGCCATGCTGTTCTGCGAAGAAATTCTGGTTTTCTCCCGAGCTGCGCGCGGAGAAACCATGAAATAATCCAAGACTTTTCCGATAATAAATTGATTCCAAACTTCTGCAGAGCTAGCGACGAAGAAATCTTTCAGTTTTTACATAAAGAACTCAAAGTACAGTGCTTGCTTGAGTGACAAGTGGCTGCCAAGTGGCTGGCTGAGCAAGTGGCTGCAAGTGACCGCAAAGCCAAAAATCAACATGTACATCATTTGCTCGCTCTCTGTACACGTGATATTAATATATATATATATATATGAGGTTGGACGGCTGGACTATTCTTTTTTTTCGGGCGACAAGTCTGAGAGTGTCTCACTAACTTTCCACTCTGCAGTGTAATGCTGTGGAGCTGCTTGACCACAATTTGTCTCGCAGCACCAGAAGACATCACCGGCGGCAAGAGGCAGTTATCACAGATTTGGATCCCAAAACTGGTGGTTTCCACTGTGGTAGGAAACCTGGAGACCGATGGAGAAACTGGAGACCTACTCACCTCAGTAGCTATACCTACTCACTTGCATTCACCTGCCGACAAGTCACAGGTTCCACTTCCCGGGCTTCTGAGGATGGCTGGCGCCGGCTGGTGGTGAACGGGCAAAGCCTACGCGGCGCCATCAGCGCGTGGCTTGAAATGGATTAGTTGGGATATGGATCCTACCGCCCCAAGAACCCAATACCTCATGAATTGATGAGCCTGATCATCAGGTTCTTGGTTCTTGGTATTCGGGGTTTAGTGGTTCTGAAGCTGGAATGTGGCAGGCTACCAGCTGTCGGCTCAAGTGAAGTTACCCTGCGGCCTTAAATTTTGGTTCCCACGGTTTCCTCATATCCGATTGTGAGATCAAAAGGAAGATTGATGCCTTTCTGAACCTGTCACACACGACGCGAAGCTCTGGGAGCGCCAGAAAACCAAAAACAGTCTGTCCAGCCTCTCCCGGGATTGCCATGCTTTGGACTCCTTGACCTGTAGGAGTTTGATGGACTAGATGGCCATGTGCTGAAAACCTGCCAGATGTCACTGGTGCAGGTGAATCAGCTACCCCCTGATTTCCCAGCGTGCTACCTGCTCGTGCTATATTACAGTGTTGGTATACTTTGTAAGGTAGGGGCCGGTAGGGGCGTGCTGTGTGCCGTTCCTTCATGGGAAACAATGTTGGTGAGAGGGAAGCATCCCCGCATGTCGTTTGCGCCCGCTAAACAGCTTTCTACCATGCTTGGCCAGCATTGGCCAGCCAGAACTGCTAGGAAAGATGAGAACTTCCAACCAACCAACTGGCACAAGATTCTGGAGCTTTAGACATGTTTTTGCTGCTTGTTTTTAATATGTGTGCTTTGCCCGAAAACCAAGGTGGTACTTCCATGAGCGCATCTTCCAGGGTGCACAAGTGCAGGAAATGCCCGACGAGCCTTTTGGCAGGGAATTCTATGGAATCCCGATTGGTTTGCACAAAGATTCCCATCCCAGGATTGGGTTCTTGTCAGACAAAAGGGCTCTCACCAATAAGATAGTCCTAAAACATGTTACAACTGTTCTATGACGATTGGGGTTTCTATGGCTGTCATGTTGAATTGACCAAGACTGAGACCGACTGTGAACAGCGCCGACCGTTTTGCTTTTTGCCTCAAGTGACGTCTAATTTCGAGTAAACATCGAGAATCGAGTGGTCGTTCTAGATAGGCCATTCAAACCCTGGCCCTTGTATGTCTCAATTTACATGTGCCGCGTATAAATGCATACCGTATACCAATTAACTATATATACCTGGAACCCATTTGACCTTTGTTTTGACAAGAAAAGACCATATTTTGGGTGGTTGGTGGTCCAAAATAGAGGTCATTCAGGTTCCAGGTAAATATATATATATACATGCTATATATCCAAGATCCCCAAATGAATGAACACTTTGCCGGCTCTTCACTCCATCTCACGGGCGCCACTTCCATGTTCAATTCCACTCAACACTCCGAGGAACCCCACCTGCCACCCTTATGGCATCGAAATCGTGGTGTGAGAGGCCCCGAGGGCCTCCGCCAGTGTCTACTTCCGCGTTCCGGAAGTACGCGGAAGTCATTGATCCAATTGAAGCAGTGCCACTGCGCGGCACGGAAGACCCATATATGTTTCTCTTTATTTTAAGCCCATGATTGTGCGGCCCCGGTGGGCCACTTGGGCAGCCGGAGAGCGCAGCGCTCGAGTAGTTTTGTGTGTGTGAAGTTGCGGAGAGGTCTGAGGGGATTGATCATGGAGAAGGTTCTGTTGATGTACTATCGGATCTATCGTTCTCTATCGACATGAACTCCTTAGATTCCATTTATTGATGTGATTTGCTACCATTTTTCTCTCAGATTGGCGGCGAGGGTGGGTTATCCCGGACATGAGGACCGGAGAAACCGCCCATGATGCCGCCGGAGAATCCGCCATCCGTGCTTTGCACGAGCGACAGGTAGGTAGACTCACTGTAATCCACGCACTCCATACTGTAAGTACATCATGTACATGAGGCATTCCGTCGTATGCATTCCTTGATGCCACGGGTAAATATGGCAAGACATGGAGTGTGTTGGGTGATCCAATACTTCAATACTCGATCTTGTTGATTCGTGTGGTTCTCCGAACCGGCTTTGGTACGGTCTTGGATTCGGACCAATCATTCCCCACCGAAGCAACGGTTTCCGCCCATCCGACTCTCAAGGGATTGGTGTTGCTGACAACCCCTTTGAAAGGACATCCCTATGTTGTTTGTAAATGTTCTATTTTGTGCACAGGGACGCCTTGGAAGAAGATGCAAGATCTCATGCTGCATGCTGCTCCATTGGGCCGAACTGCACGGAACGCAGTGGAATTGCATTTCGCTTTGCCGCGGTGCATCCAGTTCTTAGACCAAACAGATCGAGCTCAAAATGACCTTTGCAACAGCACTGGACAGACTACTTTTAAAGAGTTTATTTCAAGCAGGGTGTGCGTGCTGCGGCATGCGCTCGCTGGCTTGCCACGGGCTTCCTGGATGCACCGATTTGACATGATTTGACTATGTCGAGTCATCCAACTTCGAATGACGTTTGAACTCATTCGCGCTGATCGATCCGAGAAAGTCGCTCCGACGCGGCAAGTCGATCGATTGAATGTGTCGCAACACCCACACCAGTGTGTGATTGGATGCAGACGCCTGAGTGGCAGTGCTTGGTTCATCGGATTCAATCTCTCAACTTCCCCAGTTTTGAACCTTTGGGGCGAGTTTCCGAACTATAGTTGCACCCCAAGTTGCAAGTGAATCAGACATGTGTAGTTCGATTTCGGCCAACAGAACCGGAGCCGACCGACCTTCTTGAAGCCATTCACCGTCCGGAGTCCGTGTTTTTACCTGGAGAATCTAGGAGATCAGACCAATTGCCTAGAACAGCGATCGAGGGGTCCAACAAAATACAACAACTAAGAAGTCTAATGATGCATGTCAAATAGGTATAGAATATGTTAGAAATTTATGGAAGTTATTTGGAAGCAACGTCTAATGATTCGGGATCCAGTCAGGCTTGTTTGTTTGGGTTTTTCACCTCGTGTTCAGGTCGCCAGATTCGGTGTGAATCTATGATCCCCAGCTTTGGCGGTGGTTCACCAGCTACACGCATTGCGGCCAAACTTGGATACATACTGCCCCAAACTTACCCTCTAAAGATTCTGAAGCAAACAACATATAATGCCCTCAAACTTTGACACTGAGTAGGCGGCAGGTACACCTTCCAGGAAAACAACAATGGAATGGTGGTCACCTGTATCACCTATGCCTACAAATGGCAGGATCAATAATAGCAGTGGACAGCTTTGGATGAATCAGAGTCCAAAAACCCTACCAGTCAATGAGTTGGTTTCAGGGAAAATCTGCAGGAAAGCCTTGTGTTCACCTCCCAAACTAATTATGGATGTCCTGTGAATATTAATTGACACCAATTCTGGGACCCAGCTACCTTATTTTTGCTCCTAGATGTCGACCCTATACCAGCTATCATTCTCATGGGAGTTCGACTGAGGTCCCAGGCCTTTGCAGCTGGTTGCCGCTTGGCCCTGACACGGCATCAAGGATCCCCTGGGAGGATGTCCCCGTTGTTTTTTTTTTCACACAGCGGTGCAGGGTAGGTCGGGTAGAGAGTTCGATGCGTTGTTCAGTCCAACCTCCCACGAATCAGGGGTAGTTTTGGACATTCACCCCAAAATGGCATGCTGTGGTGATGTTGGGTTGTCCAAGTAATTCTGTTCAGTTGGCGGGCTACTGCTGAAGTTCCCCCCTCACAAAGTTTCGGCCCTTCTCCCCAATCCATCCCTCAGTATGAGGATACAATGAGCTTTGTTTGCGCATATGGAAGAATGTCCGTTGTCATGAAGGTCCGTTGTTCTGCTTGCTAAAGAAAGATGTTTCCGTCACAAGTACCTTGTTGTACAGTTACGTATCCTTTGTAACAGTAGTATTTGGACGTATCCTTTGTTTCTCTCTCTTCCCCATGGAAACCGTTTGAGGGACACCGTTGGTGACCAGTTCCCGGTCTTGGAGATCAAACAGATGTCACCCGACCAGGGCCATGTAGCGTCACCACCACCTCACCGGCCGTAGCCCGGAAAATATGGCGTTGAACATGTTTGAAGACTTTTCTTGACCAATTTGGAAGCAGATCAGATTCAACAATGCAAAGTGCTTTGGTTCCCGTGTTTGCCTTCACATGTATCTGTTTGTGCTTCCAGGTCCCTTAAGCTGTGTCGCGCTTGAACCGTGCCCGGTGGACGGTTTCTCAGGCTGTCTCGCTTGTGCAAGGACGCGCAGGGCGTCCGGAAGCTCAGAGGGTGGTCACGCACCAGTCCAGGGGCCACTGGCTCTAAAGACATCATCACTTGAATGGATGGCTTGGGATATCTGGGATGCATTTTTGGATGCGCGACCTATGGCTGAAGTAAAGCGGACAAGCAAATATAGAGAGCCAAACGTCCTTGTCCCCTTTCCGGTGGTCGTACGGAATTATCAACTGGACGTTTTGGATTGCAAATCACGAGGGCGGGAAAATGCATCCTGAATTCTATAGTGTCGCAGAGTGTATATCATCGTATGTATAGTGTTGTGCATTCCCACTCAACAAGGGAGACTTTCACAACTTCCCCAGTGACTGGAAGAGTTCTTCTCAGGTCTTGTCCCCAAAGGTGCCCACCAGGGCCGCTAGACTTAGTCGAAACAGCCACAGGTTGATCAACGAAAGAGTTGACGGCGCCAAGCAGTTTGACCCTTTAATGTAGATAACCTCCCCCAATTGAATTGAACAACCTCTTCTATATGGGGGGTTGATGAATCAAGAGTCTACATGAAGATCCATCCTCTACCTTTTGCGTTTCTCCCGCCGAGACCAACTATGCTTCCCTGAGCGAGCTGAAGTGCGTCCGGGGCTCCCATTTCTGGACGACGTCCAGAAGTGCAATATCTCGCTGAAGTGAAGATTTGCTGAAACCATGGCAGATAGGTGGACAAGCGATGTCAGGTGCTAGACTCACCAGGTGAAAGGAGGAGTCAAAATACAGCGCCGGCGCCTTGCAGGGGCAGCTTCCCTCCCTCCGGATGAGAAAGCGATCGATTTGTGGCATTGAGATAGAGCAAAGCCAGGTCAGAACCATAGTTGGGTGACTTCCCTGGCTCTTTGGATGAGTTCTGGTTTTCGACGAAGACCGCTCCAGGGACCCGAAGCGAGGTGAAGTCCGCCTTGACCTTGCTCACGGAATTGGCGCAAGGTGGGTGGGTTCTCATCACACGAGTTGGGGGCCTTGTGTGGAAGCGGGCGACCACAGAAACTCGGCTCGGCCTTGAATGGCTTTGCTTGAATGAGAAATGGGACACCTCAGTCTTCATTTGCTCAAAGCACGGGGCTTTTGCAATTCCAATCCAGAAATTGGACCAAACCTGGTTGCAATATGTTGGGTCAACGCGGGGGGGCTCCCGGAAAGTTAACCCTTCCGATGACACAGCATTGTTTGGTGCGATGCAAACGATCCACTTCGATGATGATGATGAGGAGGAGGAGGAGGATGATGATGAGGATGAGGATGAGGATGACGATAAGGGCTGCGAGTGTTCAAGCTCGTCGGTTCCACTCGCTTCATGTCGTGGTGTTCTTCGTCCTGCTGATTTTGCATCCCGCTGTTCTTCTCCCACCTGACGGACGGCGGCCGCGTGCTGCCCCAGCCGCTGCTTCCTGGCACGTGAACGAGCGCCACCTGATCCGGCGCTCGGGCTTGTGAAGTTGGTGAGGGCGGAAGTATATCAAGTACATCCACCGTTTTCTTTTTCTTCGTGACGATTCTGTGAGTGGTGAACCCGGTCTCCTTTAACACTCCTCCAGGTCCCAAACCCTGGACTTGGAAGGGCATAGCAATTGTTGGACTTCACCTTTTTCTGGTTCATGCCTCCATTTCCACACAACACAGAAGCCTTCCTTGGCAGCCCGAGGGCTTCAGCTCTGCCATCGGAGCTGATGAAGTCATCAAGTGTCTCCCTCACTCCAAAGCTTTGACAAAGCAAGATGGCAACAGACCCAACAGTTTTATACATGGAGCTTTTTCCCCGACCTTGTGTTCCTCGTAAAGGGCCTACATCAAGGCTCTGAAGCGAGCCACTATTCATGGCGTGACGTGGTATCGAGGACAGTACATGACTGCTGCACAGCTGGGAGTGACACCACGGCCGCGTCCCTGCCTGACGGATGTCCCAGTTCCAAAGGTTGAGGCTCTCTCCAACCCATCTCCCACTGCGACTACTCGAAATCGAAATCCACCGTCTCGAGTTCGTCAAGGTCGTCTTTCGATTCTCTCGTGGAACATTGGACGACTTAGTGTGGTGAAATGGGACATGTTGCGGGCCTGGCTTCACAATCAGGCTCTAAACTGCTTGACATTCACTGGAGAGTGGCATGACTCGTCCTATGCATATCTCCACACGGGAGCCCACCAAGGCAGAAGTGGTTTGCTCACCGTTGTGAAGCGCTC